CTCAAATTATGCAGGGGAAATCACGTGCAAATTGGAAAGCAAAAATTCAAAACGCTGACTAGATAATTTATTGGTGAAGATATCAGCTAACTGCACTTGTGTAGGAATATGCTTCACCACGAGATCGCAATGTGCGACACGTGCACGCACGAAATGGTAGTCAATCTTGATGTGCTTGCTCCAGTCATGCTGAACAGGATTGACGGCTAAGTAAGTAGCTGAGACATTATCACAAAGAAGTTGTACGGGAGCAGAAATAAATATTCCCACATCAGCTAGCAGAGACCGAATGAAGAGTGTGTCCTGGACGGTATAAACAATGGCTCTGTACTCAGCCTCAGTAGAGGATTTGAAGACGGTGGGCTGTTTCTTGGAGCGCCATGAGATCAAATTGGAGCCCTAGAAAACCGCATATCCTGTGGTAGATCGCGAGCTGTCGGGGCAACCTATCCAATAAGCATCAGAATAGGCTGTAACAACTGAAATATTTTTGTTAGCCCGCAACCACAGACCATGCGCACTCGTACACTGTAGATACCTGTAAATCCTGTTAACAGCCAAAAGGTGAGTAGTGCGTGGAGCATGCATAAACTGGGATACAAGGTGTACAACATAAGTAATATCAGGTCTAGTAATAGTTAAGTACTGAAGAGCACCTACCATACTGCAATACTCAGTAGCGTCAGATAAAAGTGCCCCATCTTTAAGAGAGAGTGTGGTGCGAGAAGGTATGGCAGTACGAACAGGTTTAACATTATGAAGATGAAAACGCGGTAACAGATCAGATATATATTTAGCTTGTGATAAGAATGGACCCTTAGGTGTACGCTGAGCTTGAACACCTAATAAATAGTGAACATCCCCCAAATCCTTCATCGCAAACTGTAGTGAAAGTGTGTCTATGACAAAGGAAACGAACGAAGTGGAAGAGCCAGTAATGAGAATGTGGTGTACAACATAAGTAATATCAGGTCTAGTAATAGTTAAGTACTGAAGAGCACCTACCATACTGCGATACTCAGTAGCGTCAGATAAAAGTGTCCCATCTTTAAGAGAGAGTGTGGTGCGAGAAGGTATGGCAGTACGAACAGGTTTAACATTATGAAGATGAAAACGCGGTAACAGATCAGATATATATTTAGCTTGTGATAAGAATGGACCCTTAGGTGTACGCTGAGCTTGAACACCTAATAAATAGTGAACATCCCCCAAATCCTTCATCGCAAACTGTAGTGAAAGTGTGTCTATGACAAAGGAAACAAACGAAGTGGAAGAGCCAGTAATGAGAAGAATATCATCCACATATAAGAGAATATAAACCACTTGAGAGTGAGAGCGATAAATAAACATGGATGAATCAGACCTGCTCTGTGAGAAACAATGACTCAACAAAAAAACACTGAAGCGATGAAACCAAGCTTTGGGAGCTTGTTTCAAACCATAAAGTGTCTTGCGTAGGCGACACACATGATTAGGAAAAGATGGATGTATAAAACCTTGAGGTTGGCGCATATAGACTTCTTCGGTTAAGTAACCATGCAAAAATGCATTTTTCACATCTGATTGACGAACAGACCAACCCGGAGAAACATCAACAGATAGAATGAGACGAAAAGTAGTAGGTTTAACAACATGACTAAAAGTTTCTGTAAAATCAATACCAGCCTGTTGTTTGAAACCTTGAACAACTAAACGAGCTTTATGCCGCTCAACAGACCCATCAGAACAATATTTTGTCTTATAAATCCACTTACAACCAACCACATTTTTAGTAGGGTCCCAAGGTACCAAATCCTAAGTCTTACGGAGTATTATTAATCAAAGCATTAAATTCATAGCCATGGCAGCCAGCCAAATAAAACTTTTATTTGCATGTAGAAAACATGCAGGATCATCCGGGGGAGATAAAGCACTTAAGGTAAAAATATGTTTGGGTTTAAAAATGCCATCCTTTGCACGTGTGCGCATCAGATGGATGTTAATAGCCGCACGTGGGATTGGGGAAGATGCTGCCGAGGACTACAGGGAGTGATGGCTGCGAGCACTGTGTTGGGGCGAGGACGTGGAAGGTGTGGGATGGAGTGGTGAGGACGTGTAAGGTGTGGGCTGGACTAATGGGCTGTTGGGTTGTTCTGGGAGTGATGGGGTACATGGTGAGCTGGCTGTTGGACTAGCAGGTGTTGTAGGAGTTTCGGTCGCTGGACTCAAAATCGGTGTGGATGATTGGAAAGCAGAGCACTGTGACTGTGGGGCCTGCTGGGGTTCAGCCGAGGGGGGGGGGGGGCAGTTTATAGGGGCTGGTAGTGCTGGAAAACGTTGACACAGTTAAACCGAAGATGATAACCATGAAGAGGGTAGGCTAGGTGTGGGAGAGGATGGGTGTGATGCTAATGTGGTATAGGGAAAAATATTTTCATGAAAAACAACATCCCTACTAACATACACCTGTCCCGTAGAGGGAGAAAAACATCGGTACCCTTTGTACCCCGGAGCATATCCAAGAAAGACACAATGTATAGAGTGTTGGCTCTATCCTTCCAAAATCAACGCGTTGACTGTGCTGCTACTAACTTGGCCTCGTTGACCATCTAGCTCCGAGAATTGACCTGTAAAATAAACACTAAAAGGAACTAAAAATATATTAGAAGCTCGAGACGCGTCAGACGCTGTCCTAAGGAATTATTTCCGGCGTACGGAAATCCCCCCCCCAGGATATAACGAGTCTTTCGGTTATAAAACCGGGTACCAGAACTAACGAGAAGAAAATAGTATATGAATCCAGTAATAATATATTAGAAAGGAGTTGTTGCACAAATACACATTTTATCATTCAAATATATTTTTATACTCCAACCAAACTCCCAAATTTCATCTCCATATACATGTATATTTTCACATATGTATATATTTTGTACTGTATGTATGCTAGTGTAGTTTCCCTTGTTCACTCATGTAGTAAGACCAAAAAAGATTTCGCCGTGTAAAACATACGCATATGGTTTTATACTCATTAACAAAGAGGAACATTTAAACATGCAATAAAGGAGATAAAATAATAAAAAACGTTTCATCATTAATAGTTTTAAATTAAAAGGTCACTAACGTTAGAAGTATGACCAAAATTAATAGGGGTTTTTTCCTGAATATTACTAAAATAAAGCCAATTTTCAAAAAAGTGACCACATTTAAATTTAGACAAATATGTGACTAAGATGGTTATTCATGTCACTGCACCACTTCCATGTCATTGTCGGATGTCACTGCTGCCGCCACACGTGTCACTGTTGCCGCCACCGTGTCACTGTCTCCGTCACACATGTCACTGCCGCCTCCACGCATGTCACTGCCTCCGCCACACGTGTCACTACCACCGTCGCGCGTGTCACTGCCGACGCTGACCATAGTGACACTACCGCCACTGCCACCGTGACATGTACAATGACACGAACATAGTGACATCCATCACCACCTCCCATGAGTGACCGTCGCCAGCCAGAAAACACCTCCGGCCAAAGACCGCCGCTGGCCACAGCGACACATCATAGTGACGTCGCCGCCACCCAATGAGGCCCGATTTTTCAGTGACGCTCCCTGCCAGAATTTACTCTGATCACCGCCACATCATCGATCTCCCTTCGCATCCCCCAGCCCCCGTCTCAAGCCCATCCACTGCGCAATTGATGTTAAGCTTTCAACAACCACCTGTAGCACCCCCAAGGCCCCAATAGACTAGCTGCCATTCACCGACCTTACCTTGCCGCCGGTCAACACCACCAGCAAAGCCAGCGCCGTCGGTCAACATCGCCACATTCAGCCCGGGCTCCCAATCGTCACTCTCAACCCTAGCCCCAATCTGTAGCTCACCACCATCGTCGTAACCTGCCCGCCGTCCAACCTATAGCCAACAGCCTTAGGCCCCCATCCCAAACCCCAATTTTTAAGCTGCCTCCGTTAGCAATCGCCTACGCAGAAGCATAACCACAAGATGGCAGTTCGCGCCTGAAGCAGATCCAATCGAAGCAGATTGGCAGTTAACGGCGGAGGCGATGTAGTGACGACTGGAGTCGACAGCGATGCACATACGTTTTGTGACACCGCTCCCGAACGTCCTTGAAAATTTGATTTAAAATTCAAAGTTTATGTATTGGATTTCTGATTCCCAAACATTTTGTAAAACGATTAATGTTTTACGTAATTAATGATCGATTAGTGTACTGTTCGAACTCGTATATTAGTGTCGGGCATGCAAATACTATTTGAGTCTTATTAATAAATAAAAGAGCCCAACATTATCCAAATAGTGATACATAATCTTTCAAGACAATCCGAGTAAGGTCGGACGGCCCAAACGTTATTTTGAGCCCAACCTGCTAAAATAGCAAGTATTCGAGAATGGCGTTCTAGACCCACTCGGGAGTGACCCACACGGTTAGTAGCCCATTAATATGTATGACAAATGTCAAATAAGTGATAGAATGATTAAAGAAGAATACAAATGCCTATAGTCCCATCTTTAACATTATTGAGCTAAATAATGGGAGTAGGATTTTTCTTCTATAATATCCATTAAGTAAATTATTGTGATAAACCTACACATATTGGAAATCAATAATGTGATGAAGGAAGTTGACTTGTTCTAAATGAATTAGGATGAGTACAAAAAGACATCTTTGACAAAAGATAAAACAATAGGACCCATCTTCCCATTTTTTTTGGAAGTATTGGTAGATAATTTGGATCCCAAAATGATTGGGATCAATTGGGAACCATTCCACATGGACTTAGTACCTGCAAAACAAGTGAAAAGAGGTGAGAAGACCATATGGGGCGGACTCTTGGCTCACATGCACAAAAACTCCAAGAGAAAACAAAAGGGGGAGGTCCACCCCATATTTGATTGCAAACCAAATATCTCCCATGTTCTTTTGTGAGCCACATACTCTTTTATCATGTTTAGGGACTCCTAATACACTCCCCATACACCCCATTCGAACCCCCAAAGAGATAAGAGAGCAAGGGAATCCACACAACCCAAGAGAGAAGGAATGAGGAGAGCAGTCCGCAGGTTCGTTCTTCAGTGCGTAGCTCTGATTGTTTGAGCCATAACTTGAGATTTACTCATCCAAATAAGGCGTGCGAGATACCAACAGAAAGCTCTCAAGACGAGGAATCCGTGAAGGTCTGGTTTGCATCAATCGGAGTAGTGGAAGGCGTCCAAATCGACCGAGCAAAACACGACCTCGCAGAATACGTTTTTGTATTCAAAGTAAGTTTGAATCCAAAACCTTCCTCTCTATTGTCTAAATCATATAGATGATTGAAGAACTATTATACACTGATTGAAGTGTATAAAATGTTATTATTATGTGACTTTAATTGTTGGAAAGGTTAGATACTAACCTAGTCAAAACCTTGAAAGGTTAGGGAACGAATTCGTCGGGAAACACCCGTTCTAGGGACTGTTTTTGCATTTTCGGTTAGGAGTTGAACTAGCACTTTGAGGGGGCTGTTTAACACTCAATTCCAAGCAAGGAATCAGTTCTCAATCTTCCTTGGCCGAGGCTTTGGTCATTGGATCGAGAAGGAAAGTTTTAAAGCTCATTTGAGGTGAGGACCGAAATCTAGTTGCTTACAACTTGTAGGTTATGCATGAGATTACCTAAATGCTTAAATCATGTTTTTGTGAATAAATATGCTTGAACATGATATGAATGATAAGTAATGGACTTGATCATGAATTGAAACCATATTGATGAATATGGGGTCATGTGAGATAGATGTATGCTAATATGGTAAATTGACCTTTCCAACTAATGTATGAATGTGATGTGTATGTAAATGTATAATTGCATGATGATGCTTGACACATGGGAGGCTGCCACATATCTATTGATATGGAGGAGCTACCATTAATGATAAATGAGTTGTAGGAATAATCTTAATAGTATTGTGATGCTAGTTAAGGATTGTCCTAAATGTGTTAGAATCAAACTTAAGGTTTGAGTTTGTTGGTGATGAACTTGAATGAGATTCAAGTGTCAATTGGTGTGATTGTATGAAGTAGGAGATCTATGGTGTTATTGTATGAAGTAGGAGATCTATGGGGTGAATACATGAAGTAGGAGATCTATGATATGATTACATGAAGTAGGAGATCTATGATGCGAGTGCATGATGATGTACTCGAGCCGAACTCTAGAAATGAGAAGTTATATTAGGGTTGGACCCTATGTATGTCGTGACTATTAGTCACGGGGTTTGGGAAATGTTTTGTGATAAACATGGGCCTTGAGCCGACTACTTGACTTTATATAAAGTAAGTATATACTTTGAAGGGGTAATTTGGGATTACAGCCTAAACTATATTATCACCCTATTTGAGGGTCTTGTGTGTGAAATACTTGTTGTATATCTATTAGATGCCTGCCACACCAGTACTTTATAGCCGTATAGAGTACTGACCCCTTCGGGGGCGTCCCACCACCATTTCAGGTTGAGGCTAGAGCTTGCATCCTGTGCTCGTTGACCGAGTGATTCCTAGGAGAGAAGACTTGGTTCGTGCTTCCTCCATTCTATTTGAAACATTAATAAATTTGCTCATGGATATTTTACTTTAGAGCCTGCGTGCTCATGAATAGCCCTGTGTGGCCCTTTGTTTTAAACAATGTTTTCCGCTGCGTTATGAATTACCTATTATGTTTGTTTATGGATGTTATGTGTGTGAATGATATTCAAGACGCCTTGTATAATATGAATGTGTTGGACTGCGGTTGACTATTCGTATTGTACGGCGGGTTGTTGACGTGTCCGGGGAGGTCCGGGGCGTGACAATTAAGTTGGTATCAGAGCCTTAGTCCATAAACTTCATAATGAAGTCTCAAAATTCTCTTTTTGAAAAGATTTTGAAAACCATGAGCATAGAAGTTTTGTACTTGGAGAGCTTTTGGTACTTGGGTTGCAAGGTCTCTAATTGTTAAGATGGTACCCTTAGCAATTGGTATGGCAGTGACTCGAGCCAAAATGTGTCTTAAGTACCTATCCGTCAATTGACATTTGATACGAGTCTAACGACTCTTTCCAAATTTCTTTCAGAAATGGACCGTGGTGGCAGGATTACTAGGAGAAACCCGACGGGCCGTGTACCAGTGGAGACTGGACAGGGCAGTCGAAGGACCTCTAGGGCATCTAGAGGAGCTGGCCGTGGAGGCCGATCACAGACCGTGAGTGACGGTCATGTTGACACAGAAAGTGAGACCTACTGGTCCTATGAGGACTCGACTTACCAACCGGAGACCGAGCCGGTTGAGACCCCTTACGAAGGGGATGACGATGAAGTAAGTGATGAAGAAGGGGAGAATGACTCCCTATCCAGAATTGAGGCGCTGCTCCAGCAATATCAGCGGGAGCGCGAGGAAAGGAGGGAACGCCGAAGGCGCCGAGGAGGGCGAACTTCGGGTGGGGCTTCAAGAGGAAGAAGCCATGGCGACTCTAGGGCCCACATTGAACCACATGGGGGTCGGGGTGATGGAGGTCCGACCATAAGGATCTCCAAATACCTCAAAGAGGCACGAGACTTGGGGTGCAAACCCTTCAACGGAGCGGGTGACATCTCGGTCGCCGCGGAATGGGTCAAGAGGTTGAACGAAGCAGCCCTTGATATGCAACTCACCCCCGAATTTAAACTAAGGGTAGCGGTGAGATTGCTTGAAGGGATGGCATCCACGTGGTGGGACGGAGCCAAGGGAAAGTATGGCAATACCGTGACTTGGGAGAACTTCCGACAGGAGTTCTTTGCCCAATACTATTCTGATTTTGAGGTGAACAATAAGAGGAGAGAGTATACCCTCCTAACCCAAGGTGGCAAGATGACAGTGAGGCAACTTGAACACAAATTCAGGGAACTCGCGGAGTTCATACCGGAGTATGTCTGTGATGAGAATCGGATGGTAAATCACTTCTGGGATGCCTTAGACTTGGAGGTGCGTGAGAGGGCAACGCAGTTGCCTAACATGACCTTTAGCCAGGTGGTCGAGCAGGGATTGAAAGGGGAGAAGGAATGGGAAGAAAGAAAGATGAAGAACGCCGAAGAGGCGAAGAAGAGAAAATGGGAGAGTCACGGCTCCCAAGGTTCCAACAAAAAGGGGAACCATGGAGGGGGATCTTTCCGTGCACCGCCGCCACAATCTAGGGGGAACCAGGGCTCGAGCAGGCATGACTCGGGGTCACAAGCCTCGGGGACGCCTCGTTGCTTGAATTGCAAGAAGAGTCACCTCGGAAAATGCCGTGAACCTCCTAGGTGTTTCCAGTGCGGGAACGCCGGGCATTTGAAGGCGCATTGCCCACAATTGGGTGGGCCAAGGTCATCGGGACCAAGTAGCGGGGCTACGGGAACAAGAAACCAAGCCGGGGGGTTCCCAAGTAACCAGAGGGCAAGGGGGAGCAAGCGCGAGCAACGCGCCATCCGTGAACCAAGGAAGGACCCAGGCTAGGGTCTACGCGATGACGGAGGCGGATGCTCAAGCTAACCCGGATTCCGTTGCAGGTATTGCCTCTCGTATACTAGTGTTTTATCCTTAATTAGTCCATAAATTGAGGTTACTAATTGTTAGGATCATTGCACGAAGCTTTAGGGTCGAATCGGGGGGATTTCGGGTCATTTCGGGCTGATTTTGCCCAGGCACGGTCGTGCCTAAGGCACGCACGATCGTGCCTACAAGGCAGTAGCTGCCTGCGCGTTTCCCCGACCCAGGCACGGTCGTGCCTAAGGCACGCACGATCGTGCCTGCAAGGCAGTGTCTGCCTGCGAAATTCCCGACCCAGGCACGATCGTGCCTGAGGCACGCACGATCGTGCCTCCAAGGCAGTAGCGCCCAGGGTCTTTTCCCAAGCCAGGCACGATCGTGCCTACCCCAGGCACGCCGTGCCTGGCACCCAGATTGCCAAGGATAGATTTTTCGCACCGTTTTGCGACGTTAAGACCCGTTCTTGATCCCAAACACATGTGTGAACATAATAAACCTCTCTAAATGTGTAAGAATGGTAGGAAAGGTGTCTTACACGGTTCATGAATGTAGGGACACTAAAGATTAATGGGAAGGATGCACGAATCCTTATCGATACCGGGGCGCAACGTTCATTTGTGAATGAAGCGTTCGCCAAGAGGTTGGGAGTGCAATCCGCACCATTGATGCAAACCTTAGTGGTATCAACACCACTAGGGGATGACGTGGAAAGAACTTGTTACTATCCATCTTGTGGGGTGGAGGTTAATGGTCAAACCTTGACGTGTGACTTCGTACCGCTGAGCATGATTGAATTCGATGCAATCCTAGGGATGGATTGGCTAGAAAGGAACCATGCTAGGGTAGATTGCCACACAAAGGTTCTTGAACTCGAAGGCAATGATGGGGAGACCCTACGCTTCGAGGGCGATCGAGGGGGGTCAAATAGCTGTATCATATCCGCCGTGAGAGCGAGAAGTATGATGAGAAAGGGATGCCACGCATATCTAGCATACGTGGTTGACAAAACCAAAGAGGAAACGAACATCGATGATGTGAGGGTGGTTTGTAAGTATCCGTATGTATTCCCTAAAGACCTACCGGGGCTTCCACCTGATAGAGAGATTGAATTTGTGATCGAGGTCGAGCCTGGCACCAAACCAATCTCCATACCGCCATACCGTATGGCACCCGCTGAACTTAACGAGTTGAAAACCCAATTGCAAGAGCTTTTGGATAACGGTTTCATTAGACCAAGCCACTCCCCGTGGGGAGCGCCAGTTCTTTTTGTGAAAAAGAAAGATGGGACACTTCGAATGTGTATTGACTATCGTCAACTGAACAATGTCACAATCAAGAATAGGTATCCTTTGCCTAGAATTGATGACTTGTTTGACCAACTACGAGGGGCAACCGTGTTTTCAAAGATTGATTTGAGGTCGGGTTACCATCAATTGAAGATTAAGGAAGATGACATACCAAAGAGTGCTTTCCGCACAAGGTATGGGCATTTTGAATTCCTTGTTATGTCGTTTGGGTTAACAAACGCCCCGGCGGCATTCATGGACTTGATGAACCGAGTATTTCATAAATACTTGGACCGATTCGTGATTGTGTTCATAGATGACATCTTGATTTACTCAAAGAGTGAAGAAGAGCATGAAGAGCACTTGATACTGGTTCTTGAGACACTACGGGAGAAGCAACTCTACGCCAAATTTTCTAAATGTGAATTTTGGCTAAAGGAGATTGGCTTCCTCGGGCACGTGGTTTCAGGATCGGGAATTGCTGTTGATAACAAGAAGATATAAGCCATTACCGAATGGGAGAGACCAAAGAACGTCAAGGAAATTCGTAGTTTCCTTGGACTGGCAGGCTACTACAGAAAGTTCGTGGAGAAGTTCTCTGTTTTGGCATCACCATTGACGAAGCTCACTCGTAAAGGAGCTAAGTTTGTATGGGATGACAAATGTGAGGAGGGGTTCATGGAACTAAAGAAGCGATTGACCGAGGCACCGGTACTTGCATTACCCAAACAGGGTGTGGGGTACGATGTCTATAGCGATGCGAGCATCCAAGGGCTTGGATGCGTACTGATGCAGAATGGGAGGGTAATCGCATATGCTTCACGACAGTTGAAGAAGCATGAGGTGAATTATCCTACTCATGACTTGGAGCTGGGGGCTGTGGTGTTTGCACTGAAGATATGGAGACATTATCTCTACGGGGAGACATGTCACATATACACTGATCACAAGAGCTTGAAATACGTGTTTACTCAGAAAGAGCTAAACATGAGACAGAGACGGTGGATGGAGTTGATAAAAGACTACCATCTAGTGATAGAGTATCACCCAGGCAAGGCAAACGTGGTGGCAGATGCTTTGAGCCGGAAGAGCTCGTCTGGGGCATTGCTAGCTAATTTGAGGGCATTAAGAGCCCAACTGGAGGTATCCAGCGATGGTGCCTTATTGGCACGATTTGAGGTGAGACCTACTTTACTTGATGAGATCAAGAAGGGTCAAGAGACTGACGCAGAACTTATGAAGGTCCGGGAACGCATGCAAGCGGGACCGGTGGAGGATTTCAGGGAAAGAGATGATGGTCTCTTGTTATTTCGTGACCGAGTGTGTGTGCCGTCAGATGATGAGCTCCGAAGGTCCATCTTAGAGGAGGCTCATTCATCGGCTTATGCCATGCACCCGGGGGGCACGAAAATGTACCGTGATTTGAAAGAAAGTTACTGGTGGTCTGGAATGAAGAGGGAAATAGCCGAGTACATCAGCCGATGCCTTACTTGTCAACAAGTTAAGGCAGAACATCAGCATCCAGCAGGCTTGTTACAACCACTTTCCATTCCTGAGTGGAAGTGGGAACATGTGACTATGGATTTCGTGGTAGGTTTACCACGGACAATTTGGAACTACGATGCGGTTTGGGTTGTTGTGGATAGGCTCACAAAGAGTGCACACTTCTTGCCTATCAACACTACCTACCCACTTGAGAGGTTAGCCAAATTGTATACGGATGAGATCGTGAGGCTGCATGGGGTCCCAATGACCATTGTATCCGATAGAGACCCACGATTCACATCACGTTTTTGGCCGAAATTTCAAGAGTCTATGGGAACGAGGTTGAAGTTCAGTACTGCATTCCATCCACAGACGGATGGGCAGTCTGAGAGGGTTATACAGATCTTAGAGGATATGCTGAGGGCTTGTGCGTTAGAGTTCCAAGGAAGTTGGGACAACCACTTAGCACTCGTGGAGTTTGCCTATAACAACAGTTATCAGGCAAGTATCGGCATGCCTCCATATGAAGCATTGTATGGGAGGAGGTGTCGTACACCGTTATGCTAGGACGAGGTTGGCATGACCAAACTCGAGGGTACTGAGTTGGTTGAGATCACCAAGTCAAAGGTGAAGTTGATTCGAGAGAGACTCAAAGCGGCTCAGGATAGGCAAAAGAGTTATGCAGATAAGCGTCGAAGAACCTTAGAGTTTAAGGTTGATGACGAGGTATTCCTGAAAGTTTCTCCTTGGAAAGGAATCATTCGATTCCAAACCCGAGGAAAGCTTAACCCACGATATATAGGCCCATTCAGAATTATAGAGAGGGTTGGGGCCGTAGCATATCGTCTACAGTTGACTCCTGAGTTGGAGAAGATTCACAATGTATTTCACGTGTCCATGCTTAAGAAGTATGTGCATGATCCTTCTCATGTGTTGGAGAAGCCGCCCGTGGAGGTACGTGAAGATTTGAACTATGCCGTGCAACCGGTAAGAGTTATTGACAGAAAAGTGAAGAAACTGAGGAGTAAAGAAGTTCCAATGGTTAAAGTCCTTTGGAAGAGTGACCGGGTCGAAGAAGAGACTTGGGAAACAGAAGCTTTGATGAGGAAGCAGTATGCATTCCTATTCGAGTAGAGCTGTGAATTTCGGGGACGAAATTCCTGTTAAGGGGGGGTGAACTTGTGACACCGCTCCCGAACGTCCTTGAAAATTTGATTTAGAATTCAAAGTTTATGTATTGGATTTCTGATTCCCAAACATTTTGTAAAACGATTAATGTTTTACGTAATTAATGATCGATTAGTGTACTGTTCGAACTCGTATATTAGTGTCGGGCATGCAAATACTATTTGGGTCTTATTAATAAATAAAAGAGCCCAACATTATCCAAATAGTGATACATAATCTTTCAAGACAATCCGAGTAAGGTCGGACGGCCCAAACGTTATTTTGAGCCCAACCTGCTAAAATAGCAAGTATTCGAGAATGGCGTTCTAGACCCACTCGGGAGTGACCCACACGGTTAGTAGCCCATTAATATGTATGACAAATGTCAAATAAGTGATAGAATGATTAAAGAAGAATACAAATGCCTATAGTCCCATCTTTAACATTATTGAGCTAAATAATGGGAGTAGGATTTTTCTTCTATAATATCCATTAAGTAAATTATTGTGATAAACCTACACATATTGGAAATCAATAATGTGATGAAGGAAGTTGACTTGTTCTAAATGAATTAGGATGAGTACAAAAAGACATCTTTGACAAAAGATAAAACAATAGGACCCATCTTCCCATTTTTTATGGAAGTATTGGTAGATAATTTGGATCCCAAAATGATTGGGATCAATTGGGAACCATTCCACATGGACTTAGTACCTGCAAAACAAGTGAAAAGAGGTGAGAAGACCATATGGGGCGGACTCTTGGCTCACATGCACAAAAACTCCAAGAGAAAACAAAAGGGGGAGGTCCACCCCATATTTGATTGCAAACCAAATATCTCCCATGTTCTTTTGTGAGCCACATACTCTTTTAGCATGTTTAGGGACTCCTAATACACTCCCCATACACCCCATTCGAACCCCCAAAGAGATAAGAGAGCAAGGGAATCCACACAACCCAAGAGAGAAGGAAGGAGGAGAGCAATCCGTGAAGGTCTGGTTTGCATCAATCGGAGTAGTGGAAGGCTTCCAAATCGACCGAGCAAAACACGACCTCGCAGAATACGTTTTTGTATTCAAAGTAAGTTTGAATCCAAAACCTTCCTTTCTATTGTCTAAATCATATAGATGATTGAAGAACTATTATACACTGATTGAAGTGTATAAAATGTTATTATTATGTGACTTTAATTGTTGGAAAGGTTAGATACTAACCTAGTCAAAACCATGAAAGGTTAGGGAACGAATTCGTCGGGAAACACCCGTTCTAGGGACTGTTTTTGCATTTTCGGTTAGGAGTTGAACTAGCACTTTGAGGGGGCTGTTTAACACTCAATTCCAAGCAAGGAATCAGTTCTCAATCTTCCTTGGCCGAGGCTTTGGTCATTGGATCGAGAAGGAAAGTTTTAAAGCTCA